TTGAGCAATCCTATTAGGTACGAGATACCATCTAGTCAAAACTTTATAGTTCGCTTCCAACGCAACGATGTTGGGTGAGGAAGCCTTGGTAGTTTGCCAAATCTCCTTCCAATCAGCTGAGTCCAACGGGCGGCCCACGTCTTTTTCCCTTTTCTCAACATAAGATGGAGTGTCATGGTTAGGCTTAAAAAGGATCTGTTTATAGAGGGACGAGACTAGGCCTCTGGCGTGTGGGCTCAAACTGGGAGAGATCCGTCAGTACTCCGTGGTCAGTGATGTAGGGGGAATAATAGTGCTTTATCTGTAAATAGCAAAATACCTCTGAGCACGGGAGACCGAAGGATTTGCAAAGGGTGGGGAGAGGTAAAAAAGAGGATGCGTTGATCAATGTGCAGAAGCGTAAAAGGCCTGTAGCATTCCATGCGTGAAATGAGGCAGAACTTTCCCAGACCGGATAAAAGGCAGGGTTTTTGAAAAAGGAAAGCAATGGGTTATGAGCGGATTGTAATCCGTACGCGGTCTTGAATTTATCCCAAATGGACAGAAAATGTTTAGTGATAGGCTCGCTCCGCCGGTCGAAGCCACAGCAGGTTAGCCACTGTCAAAGGGTGGCAATCAACTGACTCTATAGACACCCATATGGGAGTTTCGACTACAGAGTGGTACGTGAGCCACAGAGTAGTAGGAGAAACAGGCTAGACCCAGTCCACCGCAAGGCTTAGGAAGATATAATGTGGAGCTGGGTATTCTCGTTTTTTTCACGCCCCAGAGTCAAGTCAAAGTCCTTTGTAGAATTCGACAGAAATAGGCCGGGACAGGGATGGGCAAAATTCTTGAGATAAATATAATAATTTGGGCAGTATAACCATCTTGAGGACATTAATTCTACCTTAAAGAGAGTGGAAGAGAGGACCATCGGGTCATTACCGTAGACACGCATGTGAGCACTGAGGGGTAGTTAGCGGCAAAGAGGTCCTTGTGAGCAGCGGTTAACTTTATACCCAGATAGAGAAGGTGGTGAGGGGCCCATGAAAAGGGCAAAGCTGCTTGAGATTGCCGCAACTCCTCCGATAATGATTTGTTAAGGGCAGTTGATTTCTGAGCATTTACAGAGAGGCAAAATGAGTGAGTTTGGCGAGCAAGTTCGGTGCTGAAATGTGTGGAGTGGATGAGAACAGCAAAATGTCATCTGCCGATAGACACAATTTATGGTAGTGGCCGCCAAGTTCGATTCCTTTTGATTTTGGAATCCGAACAGATGTGTTGAGCTAAAAGTTCGATGAGGAGAGTGTAACGGAACCGGAACCCAGAACGCACTGAGTTTTTCCGTTATACCACAGCTTCCCCTGTCCGAACACCATCCACGGACCACACCCTCGAAATCCCTCAGGAAACAGACAGCACCCAGCTCTTCTTAATACACGAAGCCAACTCCTTTTATTTTAACACAAAACACAGGATATATACAGAGGGCGGGGAAACACAGCCAAGAACAGGAAATACATCATCAGCCCTCCCCACCCCACCGACACAGAACAATGGGATGAATCACATGGCAAAGGACATTGACCATCCCCCACACCAATACACAAACAGTACATCCCATAATAGTTGGCTGGACAGGAAGACACAGCACAATGGGGGGTAGCACATGGCAAACAGACAATGGACAGCCATGTGGCCTAGACAAAGGAACACACACTATACACAAGACTTAGACATTCACATACACACCCTGTACCCCTTAACAGGCACAGGGTGCCTTAAACATAATGGGAATTTGGGAAGATGATACAGAGGTCCCCCCACCCCCAAAAGTTACTCCTGTCACAGAGAGCGAATAGCAAAGGAGATAAAGGACAACCTTGATGTCTACCTCTTCCAACGTGAAGAGGGTCAGATTTGTAGCCAACATATTTGACGTACGCTCTTGGAGAATCGTATAAAGCCGTAACAATCAGTGATACTTAACTGTGGGCCATTCTCGGAAAGGTTAGGGGCTAACCGTGTAGATTTTGAGAAAGGAAACGGGGGTTATACTTGCATAGTTTACAAACAGGTGAGGATTGTGAGAGTCCTCGATGGTTGAGGGTAGCACCTCGCTGGGAGGAAAAAGTGGGAGAGCAGAAGATCCACTGGCACATAAGAATGGTCATCAATCCATCGAATCTTCCACACCCAGGGTGGGTGAAGCAAAATGGCCACGCTTGTAAGAATTTTGATGATTCCTTCCGACAGAAGCTGGATTAGATTTGCGTGGAGAGGGAGGCCGAACGACGGCGCACACCGTCTGAGTTGTGAGGGTGCTGTGTGAGCTGGAAGTCCTGTAGGATGATTTGCAATTCCTCTGAAGAGCGGCGTACATGTTTGGAACCCTGGTAGGTAAAACGGATAGAAAATGGAAACTCCTATTGATAGGAAATATGGTGTTGCTGAAGGATTTGGAGATGCAGCTTCATGGCTCCCCTCTTAGAGATGGTAAGTGGTGACAGGTCCATAAAAAGTTGGTATTGGTGGCCCTGGAAACAAAGGTTTTCTTCATCAGACGTTGTTCCTTGGTACGGTAGTAATGGAATTTAGCTATGATGTCTCTGGGTGGGCCTTCCGACTTTTGAGGTGTTAATGCTCTGTGGACTCTCAACAGGTATAGCAGGTAGTAATTCCTGAAAGAGGGCCAACATAGTTGCTTGAAGGTCTAAGATTGACTCCGGGAGACCTCGGATGCGCGAGTTAGAACATCTGGCTCTATTTTCATAATCTTCCAGTCTAGTTTGCATCGTGAGGTTTTCCTCCCTGAGATTTTCAAATTCCACCAAGTGGTCTTGTGTTTGGGTTTCAAGCTCATCCACCCTGGTTTCAAGCTCAGCCGAGCGGTGGTCTAGTTCCCTGATTTCCCGGTTGAGGCTGACTGTGATGTGGTCTGAGGTTTGCTTCAAGGCCTGGTGAAGTATGTGCTCAATATGCTTAAGGAGAACTGGGGATACAGTGTCCCCTAAGACCTGTTCCCCTTCAGATTCACCCTGGGAGTCCGGTGGGGACGAAGTGTGTTTTACCTGGGCGGGCACTCTGCAGAAGTTGCTGAGGGGGTGGGCACCGGCTCCATCTTAGCTGGGGCTCGAGCCAGAGCATCCTTGATGGACTTTGTCTTAAGCTTCTGTTTTGGGCCTCCCAAAACCATCCTGCTGTTGTCTAGGGTGAGTCTGGGGTGCAGCGGTGAGCAGCATTGTGCTCAGATGGGCTCAGGATCCGGGCAGTAGTGTCCTCCGGGAGTGGAGCTCTAAGCAGCCATGTCTGCTCGGCAGGACTCCGCATGTGCCCCCTCATGTTTTTTTTTAATTGCAAAGATTTCAAAACTGCTTCTTTCACATTGTCATTATGGGGTATTGTTTGTAAAATGTTGAAGAAAAAAATTAATTCAATCCATTTTGGAATAAGGCTGTAACATAACAAAATGTGGCAAAAGTTAAGTGTTGTAAATACTTTCTGGATGCACTGTACTCTGTTGTACATTACATTACTCCTGACCCCTGCACTATATACTCTGTGTTGTACATTACATACTCCTGACCCCTGCACTATATACTCTATGTTGTACATTACATACTCCTGACCCCTGCACTATATACTCTATGTTGTACATTACATACTCCTGACCCCTGCACTATATACTCTATGTTGTACATTACATACTCCTGACCCCTGCACTATATACTCTGTTGTACATTACATACTCCTGACCCCTGCACTATATACTCTCAGGAGATGTACATTACGGTGTGGATCTCTGCAACTTGTCTCTACAGTAAACATTTATAGCTTCCCCTGTTGTACAATACATACTCCTGACCCTTGCACTGCATATTCTGTTGTACATTACATACTCCTGACCCCTGCACTATATACTCTGTTGTACATTACATACTCCTGACCTGCACTATATACTCTATGTTGTACATTACATACTCCTGACCCCTGCACTATATACTCTATGTTGTACATTACATACTCCTGACCCCTGCACTATATACTCTATGTTGTACATTACATACTCCTGACCCCTGCACTATATACTCTATGTTGTACATTACATACTCCTGACCCCTGCACTATATACTCTATGTTGTACATTACATACTCCTGACCCCTGCACTATATATTCTCTGTTGTACATTACATACTCCTGACCCCTGCACTATATACTCTATGTTGTACATTACATACTCCTGACCCCTGCACTATATACTCTATGTTGTACATTACATCCTCCTGACCCCTGCACTATATACTCTGTTGTACATTACATACTCCTGACCCCTGCACTATATATTCTATGTTGTACATTCCATACTCCTGACTTCTGCTCTCCCCCCCCCCCCTGCTATATATACACATAATATGGATTCTCTTTTGTTCCCCCCATTTCCTACCAGCTGGACATTTTATATCGGATGATGTGATTGGAGCACAGACTTTTACATGGTGATAATAATGTGATAACATCCTCCAACTTTGGACCCTTAAACAGAAAGTGATAATGAGGGAGGAGTCAATACCCCAATGATGGTGGTCTTCAGGATCAGTCCAGTCTTCATCTTGGTTGTTCTCCCCCCATCCTCACTCTCTGACCTCTGGTGGGGCTCAGCCCCGCTGTTCATTCATGACTAAATCATGGACTAAATAAGGAAGTGCAGTACTTCTTGTGTTGGGAAGATGGCGATGAGTGATAGAGGGGGTGGGGACCCGTCCTATAATCCCCTCATCACTGTCCCTCCTATAAAAGACAGTTCTGGTTGTTTCCTCACTCTCTGACTAAGGTCCATGAATAAAGAAATGACCTGGTAGGAGATCAGAGGAGCCATTTCCTAGTTCCCTTGAGGGTGGAATTGTAAGCTCCTCAGAGACCAAGCTGCCTGATGTGGGCGGAGTCCTGGTTTGGGGGAACCAATCAGCTCCTGTCTAGTAATCCTCTTTGTCTTTGTATTTTAGTCCATGGCCGGGAGATGAGGAAAACCTCCGAGGATTGTCTCACTTTGTCTCCAGACTGGAAAGTAGAAGATGAGGACATCACACAGTATAGTCCAGGAGAAAACCCGGCTCCCTCCAATGTCCATCCGGCACCACCCAGTGTAGATGGACCATCGGATTCCTCGTATCCTGAGGAACCTCAGACTGTGGAGGACCGGGCTGGCCTTCCAACAGAGAAGAGGCTCTCCTGTACTGAGTGCGGGAAGAGTTTCCATTTTAAATCTCATCTTAAGGTGCATAAAAGATTTCACACAGGAGAAAAGCCATTTTCCTGTGCTGAGTGCGGGAAATGTTTTTCAGTGAGATCCAGCTTAACAGACATCAGAGGTCTCACACGGGGGAGAAGCGATATTCTTGTCCTGAGTGCGGGAAATGTTTTTGCACAGAAGTCCAGTATTTACACACATCAGAGGCTGCACACGGGGGAAAAGCCATATTCATGTCCTGAGTGCGGGAAATGTTTTTCACTGAAGTCCAATCTTTACACACATCAGAGATTGCACACAGGGGAAAAGCCTTTTTTCTGTCCTGAGTGTGACAGATGTTTTTCAGAGAAGTCTGATTATTACAGACATCAGCGATCTCATACGGGGGAGAAACCGTATTCCTGTCCTGAGTGTGGGAAATGTTTCTCACGAAAGTTTCATCTTTACAGACATCAGCAATCTCACACAGGGGAAGCCATATTCCTGTTCCGAGTGTGGAAAACTTTTTTCAGAGAAGTCTGGTCTTTATACACATCAGCAATCTCATACGGGAGAGAAGCTACATTCATGTTCTGAGTGCGGGAAATGTTTTGTACAAAAATCAAACCTTGTTACACACATCAGAGATCTCACACAGGAGAGAAGCCGTATGCCTGTCCTGAGTGCGGGAAATGTTTTTCACTGAAGTCCAATCTTTACAAACATCAGAGATCTCACACAGGGGAGAAAGCCGCATTCCTGTCCTGAGTGCGGGAAATGTTTCCAAGATAAATCATATTTACACAGACATCAGAGATTGCACACATGGGTGAAAATCTGCATTCCTGTTCTGAGTGTGGGAAATGTTTTGTACAAAAATCCGAGCTTGTCACACATCAGAGATCTCATACAGGGGAAAAGCCATATTCCTGTTCTGAGTGTGGGAAATGTTTTTCACAGAAGTCCAATCTGTACAGCCATCAGAGATCTCACACGGGGGAGAAGCCGTATTCCTGTCCTGAGTGTGGGAAATGTTTTTCAGAAAAGTCCACTCTTTCCAGACATCAGAGATCTCACACAGGGGAGAAACCACTTTCCTGTCCTGAGTGAGGGAAATGTTCCTCACTGAAGTCCTGTCTTCCTGTACATCAGGGGTCCCACAAACAACCCTGGAGGTGTATTTGTGCCTTGAGTGCGGGAAATGTCTTCTAGATGAATGTTGCTGGACATCCCAGCTCTCATGTGGGGAAGAAGCACACCCTGATATACACCTCAGATATACTCCATGGCTGATCTTCATCATGGAAGAAACCGTTCATAAGGAGATCAGAGGTCCCCAAAGACATGGATGAAGTGTGGGACATTGATAGCAGAAGAATATAAAGTCCTGACCTTTTTTTTTTTTTTTTTAATTAAACAAATTTTGCTTGCTTTCTACCTCGTGTAACAAATATTGGTCATATTTTATTTCATACAATGATTTCCTATCACCATTGGCTCCATCTGTGGCCATAATGAGGTATTGCTCTTTTTTCCTGATTGAAAGTGAAAGGAATTTGTGCTTCTAATCAATCACTGGTAGGTTTCGGTCTCCCCATTAGGTCTAAGAGACCGTGTTCTGGAATGAGAGAACTTAGCATGCACACACACATTTCCAGAAGACGATCTGATCTTTATTCGTAGATTCTTCTTCTTATATTGTAACAAAGAAAATCATATAATAGAATTTGTCAAGGCTGTGAACGTGAGACTTCTCAGACCTTGAAATCAGTTACAAGTAACCAACAGTTACAGTTGCAAGAAAAAGTATGAACCCCTTGGGATTACGTGGAGTTTTGCATGAATTGGGCATAAAATGTGCTCTGAACGTCATCTAAGTCACAACAATAGAAGAACACAGTCTGCTGAACATAATACTACACAAACATTAGATGTTGCCATGGTTTAATTGCACATAACATGTAAACATTCACAGTGCAGGGAGGAAAAAGTATGTGAACCTTTGGACTTAATAACCAGTTGACCCTCCTTTGGCAGCAATAACCTCAACTAAACATTTCCTGTAGTTGCAGATCAGACCTGCACAATGATCTGGAGTAATTTTGGACCACTCCTCTTCACAAAACTGTTTCAGTGTAGCAATATTCTTGGGATGTCTGGTGTGAATCGCTCTCTTAAGGTCATGCCACAGCATTTCAATGGGGTTGAGGTCAGGACTCTGACTGGGCCACTCCAGAAGGCGTATTCTGTGCTGTTGCAGCCATTGTTTTGTTGAATTACTTGTATGCTTTGGGTCATTGTCCTGTTGCATCACCCATCCTCTGCGGAGCTTCAATTGGCGGACAGATGGTTGTACTTTTTACTGCTTGGTAAATCTGTCAACAATCCGTCCAGGCCCTGAGGCAGCAAAGCAGCCCCAAACCATGATGCTCCCTCCGCCATGTTTCACAGTGGGGATGAGGTTTTGATGTTGGTGTGCTGGGCCTTTTTTTCTCCACACATAGTGTTGTGTGTTCTTCCCAAACAACTCAATCTTGGTTTCATCTGTCCACAGTATATTTTGCCAGTAGTGCTGTGGAACATCCAGGTGCTCTTTTGCAAACTTCAAACGTACTGCAATATTCTTTTTGGACAGCAGTGGCTTCCTCCGTGGTGTCCTCCCATGTACTCCATTCTTGTTTAATGTTTTCCTTATTGTAGATGTGTCAACAAAAATGTTAGCATGTGCCAGAGATTTCTGTAGGTCTTTAGCTGACACTCTGGGATTCTTCTTTACCTCATGCAGCATTCTGCGCTGTGCTCTTGCAGTCATTTTTACAGGACGACCACGCCTAGGGAGAGTAGCAACAGTGCTAAACTTTCTCCATTTGTAGACAGTCTGTCTTACCGTGGACACATGAACATCAAGGCTTTTGGAGATACTTTTGTAACCCTTTCCAGCTTCATGCAAGTCAACAATTCTTGATCGTAGGTCTTCTGAGAGCTCTTTTCTGTGCGGCATGGTTCACATCAGACAGTGCTTCTTGAAACCAGTAAACCCAAAACAGGTGTGTGTTTTTTAAGGGCAGGACAGCTGTCAGCAACACATCCAATATCATCACACTGATTGGAGTCAAGGTTGGCTCACTCCTGGCTCCAATTAGCTCTGGGAGAAGTTATTAAGCTAGGGCCTCACATACTTTTTCCTCCCTGCACTGTGAATGTTTACATGTGATGTGCAATTAAACCATGGCAACATCTAATGTTTGTGTAGTATTATGTTCAGCAGACTGTGTTCTTCTATTGTTGTGACTTAGATGACGTTCAGAGCACATTTTATGCCCAATTCATGCAAAACTCCACGGAATCCCAAGGGGTTCACATACTTTTTCTTGCAACTGTACATATGATTTCTATTCCCCCTTATACAACATAGTTCTTTCTCTGCTTCTCTCTGTATTTGGCTAGATAACTGTGGTACTCCTTAGGTTTTGGGTTCAGTGGGGCAGTTTGTTCTTGGATCTCTTCTTCATACATAGTCATATCTATACCTTTGTTCATTAGCTTCTTTATACAGGGAATCACACAGCACACTATCAGGGCTATGAGTATCAGGGTGACTACAATAATCACCCCTATTTGTGCTAGCACCTGCTTCCATCCCTTGAACCATCCAAAATACTGATCCCATGGATCAGTGATCCCTAAATTCCTTTTCAACTCTTCCGACAGATCAGACAGTTTTTTTATAGCCATAGTGACCTTGCCATTTGGCCCAGTGTTGTCTGGGATGTAGGTACAGCAAGTACCTGTTCCTTTTACCATTGCACACACACCACCCTTTTCTGCAAGCACCAACCTCATGTCAAATCACTTACAAATTCATGCAGGCTCCACCTCCGCAACATCACCAAAATACGCACCTTCCTTACCCCAGACACCGCTAAACTACTCGTACACTCCCTGATTATCTCACGTCTGGACTACTGCAACTCCCTCCTCACCGGCCTACCCCAGTGCAGGCTCTCCCCGCTTCAGACCATTTTAAACTCAGCGGCTAGACTCATCCACCTCACCAACCGCTCCACCTCTGCCTATCCCTCCACTGGCTCCCTATCGCCCAACGCATCAAATTCAAACTACTCACTCTGACCTATAAGGCCATTCACAACACTGCCCCTAACTACCTCACCAACCTGATTCCCAGGTACCACCCTACCCGTACCCTTCGCTCTTCACAGGACCTCCTTCTATCTTGCTCCCTGGTCTCCTCCTCCCACGCACGTTTGCAAGACTTCTCCAGGTCCTCCCCCATCCTCTGGAACTCACTACCCCAATCCATCAGACTGTCACCTTCCCTCCTCATCTTCAGGCGCTCCCTGAAAACCCACCTCTTCAGGGAAGCCTACCCCACCCTCACCTAACAGTTGTTTCCCCTTCATTCCTCCTACCACTCCCATCCCCCACAGCCATTTCCTCCTGTACCACTACCCCTCCCTCCTAGATTGTAAGCTCGAAAGAGTAGGGCCCTCTAACCCCTCGTGTGCTGTTTGTAGTTGCTGTACTGTTTCATGTACTGTCCCCCCCTCTATTGTACAGCGCTGAGCAAACCCTTTGGCGCTATATAAACTCAATGTAATGTAATAATGTAATATCTAAGGCCATACGATTTTGGAAGGTCATGGTGGAGTCAGTCTGCAACTACTCCGCTATCCCCTTCAATGCATCCCTGGTATAGTTGACAAACCTCTGTTGATTGTAATATATATAATTTATCCAATCAATATTTTTGTTGACGGTGATGATTGGAATGATTGACTCAAAACCTGCTTTGACCTGGTCCCTGGCTTTAAACTCATCCGGGACCCCTCTTGGAACCCCTATGGCGTCTATATAAACATGTGGGTCAAAACTACCCATCGGGGCCTCCCTCTTGTACCTCTGAGTACCTCCTGTTACATCTTCAGGGATCTCAGAAGGAATTCCACTAAAGATATGCAGGGGCATAATATCTTTGGCCAAAGCACACTCACCAGACCACTCCTTCTCCAATCTAGACCTGATCATACCATCACCACAAATCCAGTAGATATCACTAGAGATGAGCGAATCGAACCAGGCGAACCGGAATTCGAGTCGAATTTCAGGAAATATTCGATTCGCGGCGAAAACC